ATTGAAATCAACTTAATTCTGTAAGCGCATATAAAACACAGGTCCACAAGAGCTGAGGACAAATTAAAGGGCATGAGGCAAGGACAATGGAAAACCCATTGTTACCTAGGGCAGAGTAGTAAAGTGCTGTTTGGCCTTGCCCTGGAGATGCCCAACACATCAGCAGTAGACAAGTCACCACTTATTTGCCCCAGCCGTTAGTGGAAATTTGTCCTTGAATGAGTCATCTAGCATTTACAGCTCCATGTGATGAACACGTGGGTTGCCCTTAGGAACACATGACCTTTTCTCCCACAAAGGTGCTTCAAGGTGGTTCAATGGCAATGCCTTTTTACTAGGTGTCCTACTGACTCGTGCCAACTGCAGCCTGAATTTGGTCAGGTTTCTAGTCCTGTGAATTCCAGGCCATGATGGGTCACAAGAGCCAGGCAGCAGACCCTCACTTTGCCACCAGAAAATGCTCAGATGATCTGGGCCTTCATCCCCATCCTCAAAGACAGGTCAGGACACAGAGCAATTCTACTCAGGATTTTCACCTGTGAGACCGCTTACCAAAAAAACCCCAACCAAAAATATCCTAGAATTGCATAGGGTAATCAGGCAGAAGCCTGACATTCAAGTCCTTCTTAATTTGGAGCAGGTGTTCAAACTGCAGTTGCATCTTCCCCGCCAGTCTGTGGAGAGTCACAAGGGTGGGCTTCTCTCCTGCCCTTCTGCCAAAGCCCCAACCATGTGCTTAGCAAGGAGACCAGGACACTTGCTGGGTACAGCCCGTTCACTCCTGGGAGATGCATGGAGCAGACAGGCTCTTGTGGAAGAGCTCAGGAGAGGCTTCTATGTACATTCACCTGGATGAACTGTTGAACCAAGTCCAGAGGAGGCCACCAAGTTGATAAGAGGACTGGAGCATCTCCCCTATGAACACAGGCTGAGGAAGTTGGGGCTGTTCAGCCTGGAGACCTCATAGTAGCCTATCAGTATCTGAAGGGGCTCCAGGGGAGCCCGAGAGGGAATCTTTGTTAGGAGCTGCACTGATAGGACAAGGGTTCATGGGTTCAAATTGAAGGAGGGGAAATTCAGGATAGATATTAGAAAAAGCTTTTTCCTGTGAGAGGGATGAGACACTGAAACAGGTTGCCCAGGGAGGTAGTGGCTGCCCCAACCCTGGTAGTGCTCAGAGGCAGGTTGGATGAGGCCTTGAGCAATCTGGTCTAGTGGGAGGTGTCCCTGCCCATGGCAGGGGGTTGGGACTAGATGATTTGTAAGGTCCATGCCAACGCCTAAAATTCTATGATTGAAGTACTCCCTTGCAACACAACACTGTGACTCCAACAGAAAAACAAACATTGATCAAGGCAAGGAGCAACCCAGGGTAGAGGCTTTCCTGTTGTTCAAATAGAAGTGCTTCCCCATTCCCAAGAATGAGGTGTCCAAGAAGTATCCCTGGCCATAGTTGAAGTGGTAAAATCAGACAATTCCCTCCCAGCCTGGGACCTAGAGGCAAATGAGAACAGCTTCATAACATGCTCAAGATATAGACAATCTGCTTCTGTCAGGACAGGGTTTTGCTCCTGCTTCAAAGCAAGAGTTGCACGAGGTCAGGCAGCAGTAGCTCACAGAAGTTTAAGCTGGATGCCTGGTGGCCTGATGGACACTGAGCTCTCCATGCAGCTCTGTCACAACCAGCCACTGCTGTTTGCAGGGCCAGGGATCCTGCTGAGAAGGTCGACTGTGTGTTTTGTGCCCTGCAGAAAATAACCACAGAGCAGACAGGTATGTATCATTTCAGCTCAGGCATTTCTTCAGACGGTGTCCTTGGTACAACAGCTGCACTTTTCTGCTCTGGTGACCTTGCTAATTGCTCCTTCTAGTGCACTGCAATCTCATCATGTGCCTGTAGTCACCAACAAAGCCAATACTAGTACTCACAGATTAGTTTTGAAAACTGCAACCAGCAGTGCCTAACATCATTTGTAACGCTTGGATTAATTCATCCTAGTGGGAAAATAGGAGTATTTCAGCCTACAGACTGAATACTTGGTAAGACACTGGCACAGGTTGCTCAGGGAAGTAGTGGCTGCCCCAACCCTGGCAGTGTTCAAAGCCAGGCTGGATGAGGCCTTGAGCAACCTGGTCTGGTGGGAGGTGTCTCTGCCTATGGCAGGGGGTTGGGACTAGACTTGACTAGAGCAAGAAAGTCTTTTGATTGGCTTTGTCAAAGGAAGGGAAGATTTAAAGAGTAAAAT